CTTGTCCTTGAAGGCTTTCATCTACTTTCTTCCCCCCCAACTTTGCCTACTCCTCCCTCCCTGGCAAATTCCCTGGGGTATTTCTGTCCTAGTCTCTGAGGCTTTCTTTATTGGATCAAGGCGATGAATGGGCTGCTGTGCTTTTCATCTGAACAGGGGATCCTTTGTTAGTCGTTGTGGGTTTGGGGCAGTTCTGTCTGGGCCCAAGTGTCCCAGCACGTGGCACAAACTATTCCTGGCTGCCTAGCTTCCTTCAGAGAGAAATGCCGTTAAATGTCAAACTGGGGCGTGGAGGAAGTGATTGCTTAGGAATAAAAAGGGAGCAAAACTAAGGCAGCCACTGATGTTTTCCAAGGCATTCAGATTTCCCTTTAGATGAATACGGCTGTCCAATCAATGCAGTCACTTCCCCCATGTTAGCACTGGTTTCTATAATCGTTTGTCATGATTGAAACAGTTGAGCTTTGCTTGCATCTGTGTGGAGGGTGTTCTGGGCTTACATTACAGACCGACTTACTTGTAGGGCTGCCGAATGGTAGAGGCGTATATTGAACAAATGGTCGGGCCCTGGAAAACCCTAGCTTGTCTGTGACAAGACTTCCTTAGCGGGGTATGAAAACAGGATAGGGCATTCTTCCCTTTCACCCGCTTAGCAGCAATGTCATTTAAAGACTTTATACTGAATATGTTACGCCTAATGGGTAACCGATGATTACTTCGCTTCCTTGGGATTCTTCAAGTCAGGTCAGTCCCGAGGTTGCATCAATCGTTGGGGCACCTTTGTAGCAATACTTTCCTCCATCCTTTTCAGTCTTTTGCAGTCCTTGTACAATCGGTCAGTTTTAATCCTGTCCAGTTTTTAATGTTGGTGGTCCAGCTTGTCCTACAGCTGTCCTCCTCTTTATCCATCCACAGCACCTTGCATGATGGTGTTGGTAAAGGTGCCGGGCCTTCTTGTTACATACCACTGCATATTTCTTCTTATGATTTCAAGTAAGGGTTCATATTTGCCAACTTGGGGCAATCGTGGGATTTTTAGTCTGCTTTAATTCTACGTGTGGGGATCTCGCATCTCAAATGTTTGTAAGCTATAGGCCAGAAGAGAGTAAGCTCCCTGTGTGGACTGCCCTGCCAGTTGACCTCAGTTCTGACCTTTGCTGCTCTTCTGTTCTCAAGCAGACTGCCAATTGTGTAAGCTGTTTTTTTCCATTTTTATGATGCAAACAAATGTCTGCAAAGAGCTACATTAAGCCCATCCAGCTAACATTACTTGTGACCCGAATATTGAAAAGTGCCTTCCACCAGGTAATTTCCTAACTAAATGCATCTCCCAGCTTTAAGGCACATTGCACAAATGTACAGTGCTGGAAAATGACCAGATGAAACCTGTTGCAGGAAAGGAGGCCTCTGCAAAATTGAATCAACTTGGTTTGGTTGCTGATGGAGACTGGTTTCTTAAGTCTGAGGACTCCCCAGGGCATTTGACCTATTTATTGATTGGAAACTAGCTTTGATATCTGAGAGCTGCAGCTTCAACCAAGTGGACCCTGAAAACAGTGCTACCCTTTCTCCTTTAAATGTTGCCGATATCTCAGAGTCAAAAGAAGTCGTTATGGCACTTCCCAGTGCTGTTCCCTGGTAGTTTATGGAGTTGAAGTCTTCAGTTTTAGGAAGAGCACGTTTCCCCAGCACTCGATTTCAGACTCTTACAATTTGTGCATATGCCAGCAGTTATTGACAGGAGTATTTATCTCTGGCAGTCATTCAGAAAGTTGTTTCTATTCAAGCTTCTTCAGGTGCTTCCTTTTGACAACTAGAAGGAATTTACATGTAATATGAATACAGCTCTGCTTGCATGAGCTGGTCGGCAGTTGGGATCAGTCAATTATTCATGATTTATCCAGGGCCCTGGTATCTGATATTAAGGATGTTAGTACAGTAGTAGCAGAATAATAGTGTCATATTTCTGGGGCAGTCAGTTCTGCAAGCAGCTCGCTGCATTAATAGATCAGACCATTTTGCATTTAGTGGTTGGCTAATGGGAGGGAGGTTTTTTCAGTTCAGCAAGATTTTATCAGTTAAAACGTTCGGGTTTTTTTTTTTTTTTTTTCTTTCCCCCCTGCTGAGGAAGGGAGAGAGGCACAGCCCCGAAGCCACTGAGGAGCAAAGCTGCCTTTTTTTTGGGAAGGGATTTTGGAACTTGCAGGTTGATTGCAGTCCAGAAGTTTTCCCACCCCGCGGCTCGTGCCAAGAGTAGGGAGCTCTGCTCTAAATAACACTTTGGCCTTTATGGAAATGTATCAAATGTTCCAGGAGTGTTTGCGTCTCCCTCTGCCTCTCCTGCCTCGCTCTTTCTGAAGGATATAGTTAGCACTTCTCTTAGCCTTATATAGCAAGGCCTGATCGTGCTAACAGGAATAAAACAACAAGGAGAGCTGCCAGATTGCATAAATCAGGCCAGTGTTTGGAATTTCATAAATGCTGTGACTTTGGGTACAAGTTGAGCACTTGGAACAATACTGAACTGTTCTCTCTTTATCTCCCCATCCCTTTCCCCCCCTTCTGCCCTCCCCCTTTGCGGGGAGAGCCGGAGTTTTGCTTTTCCTTCCTTGTTTTTAATCTTTATTTTTCTGTCTCCATCCCCTGAAGACCACAGGAGGAGCAGCGGCAGCCGGAGCCAAGACTCTACAGACAGCCAAGACGTCCAGGTCCCGGAGCAGTTTTCAGGGCTACTCCATGGTTCGTCCCCGGTATGTGAGATAAACGAGGACCCTTTCAAGCTAGTTTCTTCTGTTGGTAAAGGAGGCACGGAAGGCCCAGGTCATTCACCTGCGATGCAGCTGGAGGATGCGGATTTACCTGCCTCTGGACCAGTACGGACCAGCTCTCCTGACCAAAACCAGAAAGTGGTCTACGCAACTGTCCGGCACATGCACAGCCACCAGGCGGATCCTGAAACTGTAGTCACATCCCACATGCTGCTGCCCCCTGGGGGCACCGAGGAAGAGGGGGACAGAGGTGGTGCTGTGGGCCGAGCCCTCCCAGGAGGCAAGCCCAAAGCAGAGCTCAAACTCAGCCGGAGCTTGTCCAAATCAGACTCTGACCTTCTGACCTGCTCTCCAACAGAGGACGATGCCATGGGGAGCCGGAGTGAATCGCTCTCCAACTGTAGCACGGGGAAGAAAAGGCTGGAGAAGTCTCCGTCCTTTGCTTCGGAGTGGGATGAGGTAAGGCTGACCCTCACTCAGACAACACTCATCAGGAACAAATCTGTGCTATGTGAGCTGCCTCTGACGAAGTCTGTTCGGGAGGTGGGGTGGCGGGGGGCAGGGAAGGGGCGTGTGTATTGGGGAGGGGAGCTAGTAAATTGGGGGACACTAAGTATTCTCATGGTCTTCATGAGTGTACCCCACTGTGTGCATCTCTGCTGGAGAAATGTTGAATTACAGTCAATCTCGAAGTAGTTAAATGCCAGGAGAGAGGCGTAATTGGAGCAGGGTCGAGGCAGAAGCTGCAAGGAATGAGGTGTTCTCTTAAACATTTGGAACCACTCACATCCAAGGCTTGATTTCTCCTTGGCTTAGCTGTTTCCCTGTTTTTTTGGAAAGGGCTTTGTTTGTAAAAAGAGGGAGGCTCAGGATCCCCAAGGATCAGTGCCGTCATGTTGACTTCCCCTCCCCAGCCCTGTCCCCCCGGACTGTCCCAGCATGAAGTAGTGGGAGGGTTTTGTTTCTAGGTCACAGTTGCCTTCTGCATTCACAGAAGGGCAGGTGGGTAAGAAAGGCATCGTGGGTTCGTGGAGTAGAGACGAGACTGTTTGGAAGGCTGCTTTGTGCCTTGAATTGATCCAGCTTCTCCTTACAAGCGGCTGGGTCAGAGGCTTGTTAAAAGTTACTTAACTGTAGTGTCCAAAGAGAGGACAGTCAGTTAAATATTTCATGCTCAGAAAGTTGGCTGTAGTGAGCCACTCGGCTGAGATTAAGTGTCCCTCTGAAATCCAGCACTACAACATTACTGGCACATTCTTTGGAGGCGACTGTACACTAGCACAGCCGCAGAGCTACGTAAGATAAGCCCAGATGAACTGCTCTTTGTGCACTGAAAGGAAATCCAAACCCTTGCAGGGAATCCGATCCCTGAAGGCTGCATGCGTGCCAGGCCTATGAACTGACGGCAAAAGGGAATCCCTTATCCTGCTGGACATTTGTGGGTGAAGGGTTAGCGACCCTACCTCGTGCATGACTGTACTTCTGGCCGCCTGTATTGATGGGGGCTTAGCTGGCTTTGTAGCATGTAAATACACTTTATCAGGCATGTGGTTTGCAGCTGGGGTGTGTTTACCCCCAAAGAAGAGCACTATACTCAGAAAATATTGGAACAAAAATCCTCCGTGAGGATTGAGGAAATATCTTCCATGTAAATCATTTTATTTTTACTTTTACCCCCCACCTGGTCCACTCTCAAGACTTGTTCCCATCTTCCCTGTACGAGTTTTTTCCTTCCCTTGGCTAGGCTCTGCTGTTAGTGAATTGGGGTGTCGGTGATTTCAGGGGAAGATGGTTGGGTTGGAGATCGCTTTTCCTGTGCTGTGTTCACATCTCATTTTAAATTCCATCCCCTGCCTGATTGGCTGCTCGCAGCCCTGAACTTTAATGGCAAAGTCCCCTTCTGGGTTTACAGTGCTGCAGTGGCTGCACCTGTAGCAGGGATGTAATTTCTATTTAGAGCTGCTCTGCTTTGTGCAGTCAGGCGAATGTGTGATCTGTGCATCACTGGTCACGTTAACACTGGGTGGGACTGAGATGAGATACTCATAGCAAAAACTACAGTATCACTGCATGTTCCCTGCTTGTTAGTTTGGGTGAGGAGGAGACCTGTGAGGATGAGGGCAAAGGGGAGTGAGGCTGAAAGATATGTACCCTCATCTGAAGCCATGTTGCTCTAATCTGAAGTTTACTTTAGGAGCAAAGTATTGGAGAACTATCTTTATTTATTTATTTTTTTTTTTGAAGGGGTGGGGGCAGGTATTAATGCTGAGGAGCAAGGATTCAGTTCTCTTAATCCTATTGCAACACCTGCAGGACCTCACAGATCATCTGTTCCCTGTTACTTTTGACTTCTAATCTATCGTGTGCTGGTATTTTATCCTTTCGTCGTTTCTGTTCATTTTAATTCCCAGGCGGGCATCATGGCTGCTTTTTGTCCTTGCTCATTTTTCTTCCTGTGCCCCTGCCAGACCTGCTGCCACTGTGGGCACTTACAGGGACAGGCAAAAGCATGCTTGGCCCAGTGTATGCAGTGGATCAGTGCTGACTAGATGGCCTGATAAACCCTTTGTTTCTTTTCCAGTTCCAGTCCTAGCTTGCCCACCCAAGGAGATGCTCTGCCTGGCAGTGTGACCTGGGTTATGTGTCTAGCTGAACTTCTCACCTGCTGGGTGACCTCAGGGGAGTTGCTTCCCCTTTGCTTCATAGTCCCCAATCTGTAAAGTGGGGGCCACGGTGGAATTAAAGGGCTTTAATTTTTCCCGGTGAACAGCACTATGCAAGTGCAAGGTATTCTTCTCCAACCAGTACTTCATTGAAGGGGAAGCAGGGGTGGGATTTGGGTTTGAGAAGGGTCCCATCTTGGTTTCTGTGGCACGAAACCTACATGCTTCATCCCTAACCTAGTGCATTCTTTAACACAGCTTGCAGTATGCATTCAGGGATGGCACAGGGCAGAGTTATGTGATAAGACGAAGGGTGGGAATGAAACCGTTCTGGGCAGTGCGCTCACTGGCCTGCCTTACGCTTAAGATCAAAATTGCCAACAGGGGTTTTAAGTACAAAGTCTGAACTTAATGGATTTATTTGGGGCTTCCAGCTGGTGGGAAGGAGCTGACCTTTCACTTTCAGCAGCCGCAAACAGCAGAGCACAACTGCTGCGGCTTTAATGTTGCAGTGATTTAAAGGACAGCCAAGGAGCTGGCCACGCTGACGACAACAGCAGTTGTGTGATGTAAGAGAAACCCACGTCTGATTCTTTGCTCGGAGGTTGGCTTAGCCCCTGCGTGGGTTAATGCAGTTGCTACTGAACTAGGCTGTTGCTTGCAGCCTCTGAACACTCTGGTTAATGTAAAATCTCACTGAGCCTGCCCCCATTAACATGATTTGCTTCCGTTTTACCGTTGGTTTTTATGGCGAGAGAGCAGTGGCAAGGGATCCTCTCCCATCCACGCCCGGCAGATGGTGTGGTGTTTTGTGTCATGCCAGTGGTATTTGTGCTGGTAGTAGAAGGGGGGCAAATCCCTGCTTGCAAGGGTCTGTGCACTGCAAGTACAGTTGAAACCAAATGGCTGAAGGCTGATGTCTTTATCAATAGCAGTTGTCTGCCTGTGAAGCTAAGGATGCTTGGGAGTGACCCCGAGGTATTCATGGGACAGCATAACAAAGGATTGCTGGTGGCAGAGAAGAACTAAGCTTGCGATGCTCTTGGGCCATCAGTTAAAGATGCCAAATAAGTCTCATAAATTGAAGAAAAAGCAGACTTATCCTCCAGCTTGCTGAAGGGGTGGACTCCACCAACCTTGCCCCTGTGTGTGAACTGTTTCCCCCAGCAGCCAGTGCCGCTTCTACCTCCAAAAGAGCAATCAGTGTGGGCAGAAAGAGCGGGGTGGCGGGGGGGTGGGAATGATTGACTGGGCTAAGATCTCTCTGGTTCCTGTTTGCAGCAGAGAACAGCTCCCCTACTGCAGAGGCCAGGCCCAAACGGCACACGACAATATTGCTTAGTGCTCAGTGCTGCAAAGGAGTCTGTTCGCTATCTGCTTCCCTTCTGTCTC